CGCATGAAACAGGAAAATCACCAAAAGTCAATCGCCACTCCCACAACGTCAAAACGTAAACACGACCTCCCCCTCCCAAAAATGATCAAATACGACCCCCTCCTTTTACAACGTCTGAAGCGAAAAAAATCAACTATCAAAATAAATTTTTCTCGGTCCAAGTACGACCCTCCTATTGGGGATTCCCCAACAACGATGTGCCCTGGGGTAGATGTAACTCTTGCCCTCTCCCGGTGCCTGTGTGCTGAGAGCTACTTCACCATAGCATTAAACTTGCCTCTTTACGACTTCACGCAAAAACTGCATTTCGGCATAGCTTTTCTTAGTAAAAGACTTCAACTTCCTTTGATCACTGAACAGTGGTGATAAGTCGTCATTCACCTTTCATGAATGTATACTTTTTATTACCTAGCTCAAGTCGATAGCTATCCAAAGTGAATAGCGTGACCTAGTGCCTTGTCATGAAGGCCTGCTAAATCCTTCAAGAGGAGAGACTTGTCACGTAATCAAGTTACGTAAAGGGATTACTTCAGTGGCACTTCTTTCTAGTTACGTTGAGATTTTGTTGGTTAACGAGAAAAGGGGGAACTGTTCATTTCGTGCTGTAATAGGGCAGGTCGTCTTAGCTGATTCCCAGCAAGGGAATATTTGGTCGTGTTTGGTTAGCATGGGGAGGTGAAGTAATAACTGCATTTGGAAAAATATTTTGGTTTTTCCCTTCCCCTTCCCCCCCCCCTTACCTTCCTTCCCTTGCACCCTTCGCCTCAGCTCCATCTCTCTCCCTCTCGACGACACATTTTTGAGGAAAAAGCTCTAGAATTTTGGAAGTAACTCCGCAAAAAAGGTACGAATTTGGGAGGATTTATGAGTAGTAGGGTAGGTAGGTTGGGGATATAGAAGCGGGTTGTAACCACGTAACCAGAGAAGGATTAGTCGGGTTGGGGTCTTCTTTTGCAGAAATTTTTTCAAAGACAGGACCTGCTCTGTAATGTAAAGACCGGAAGCGAAGTGGAAGTTGATTAGAACGATGTGTAGGTGATTAGATTGTTGGCTGACCCTATCGCCTGATTAGACCCCCTCCTGCGTCCATTTTCAGCGCTTGTAACCTTGGGGTGGACTATACATGCTTGTCAGCATTCGAATTCCTGCAAATTATAGGCATGTTCCCTGTGAGCCTTGTTATCACCTGTCAAGTACCCTGTAAGCTCCTGTCAAACTTGTTGTAATGACTGGTCAAGATTCGAAAAAAGGAAAGATGGGCCTCAGTGACGCTAGCACCATTTCACCAAGCTTAACAGGAGTTATCAGGTTTCTCCATTGGAACTGACAGGGCCTGCAGGGCAGGGCATCTACCAGTGGGGGTTTTCAAAAAGACGACCCTCCCACCAAAAATCTCTCTCTCTCTCTCCTCGAGTCTCTCTATCTGCTCTCTCTCTCTCTCTTATCTCTCAATCTCTCTCTTCCTCTCTGTCTCTCTGCTCCTCTCCTCTCTCTCTCTCTCATCTCTCTCGTCTCCTCCTCTCTCTCTCTCCTCTCATCTCCTTTCTGTAAGACCTACCTCCCTCTTCTACTGCTATCTGCCATCTTCCTAAATATCCCTAGCCTCCGAACATTTTTCTCGTATTTTCCCTAAAATTTACTCACTTTTGTCCAAAAACTGGCCGTCTGAGTGGAGGCGGCGAGCAGGGGGGGGGGGGGCGTAATGTTGTGGTTGTGAAGTGTACATGAAGCGGGAAAAACCGTGAAACTGCATTAATTGAGAACATTTCTCTTAAAAACAACTGCTCCCTGTCCCTCCAGTACACCCCCTGCTCCCCTCGATGGGGATCGCCAACGTACTACGTGTTTTGCTGAGGGGTGAGAAATGATTGTGGATAGCCAAAAAAGTATAGGCAAAAACAGAAATTGAAAAAGTCTACAGGTTTGGCCCACCCCAAGGTTATTAGCGCTCCATTTTCTTTTTGATTGATGTCCCATTCCGGAGTCTGTGGCTTGGCAGTTATGGCGAGCGCACTCCACATTTGTGAAATTTCGCTAAAACTACGTAGCTCCAGCGTTTATAAATAATGACAGCAGCCTTGCGAAAGATGTGGGGTGTAATTTTACAGGATTTGTGTTGAAATGCATAAATTTGAGGTGCTTTTTCCAATTTCTATTATTTTTTTCTGTATTTAATTCTCTTTTTGTTGTTATTTTTCTAGCGCAAATTAAGAGCTCACTGAATGATTTTCAGCTGCGATTTGATAGCTCTGAAGATCCTGAACCGCAGTCGCACTTCTGTCGGGTAGTGTATAGGTTAGGTAACACGGAACTCAAGTTTACCGACCAACCATCTTGTATGAGCGGAAATGATATAGCTGCAACTCATAGCGGCAAATCAATCGAGGCATGTTGGGTTACTTTTGATGTTTTTTGTGGTACTACTTTTACAAGTTTATTGAGTTGTTCTAGGTAGCAAGTTCGGAATCATCGAATGCTGACGACGCGTTTTTCGATCTTCTATCTCGTATGCAGTCAGCTCGCCTTGATGAGCAACGGTGTGATCTCTCCATTCTTACATCACGAACAAACACTGGCAGACGACAAACAGACAGCTTGATGACAACGCAAAATGGTTTGTTAATTTTCAGTTGAACGGGTATCTATAAAAGGGCATCTGTAGGGTGCTGACGAAGATTGATTTACTCCCAACTGTTCTGCCGAAATTGACAACTTGGTCGATATGAAAGGGTGCCGAAGAATTACGTGCGCGTGGTACTTACTCCCTTTTCGAAGAAAAATGGCGCGATAAAGCTCCAATAAATGTAGGATTAATAGCCTAGCAGGACAGAGTTCGGCGCCTGTGAGCAGCGCTTCGTGGCAGCTTTTCCAAAAAAGGTATCCTTATGCCCTATTAAGCTGTGACATACTGACCCGTAGACCCACTGTGTCCGCCCGCACATAAGTGTCTGAGCGTGCTGATGCTCGTATTGCTTCACTTGGAAAGTACAGTCTGAAGTGAAGGGGTGATATGAAGCGGTTGCGGTGCTGTACGGATGTATGGGTACATACTATATGCAGCTGAATCTAGGGGTTACTGGCAGGAAGCCAACGAGAAACTCGTCCAAATTGCTTCCGAGTATTGTAGAGTAAGCTTTTATGCAGACTTTTCACCGTTTCAGTTCACTTTTTCACCATTTTCCCACTATGTAGCACCCCTGCTACCATATTAGACCGACCAAATTATCGTGTCCTTTAAACGTCATTCTAAGCAATTGTGCATGCTTGCTGAAGTAAAAATATTCCTTTTGGGAACAATATTGGCTTAATTTTATCTCCTAGAAGAAATCGGACTCCGATTTATGAACTAACAGCAGGATTCACTCCCTTTTGTCTGAAAGTGGTCTCGTCTGAAGGGGACTTTCTAGCAGCCGTGATCTGAATACTTAAGGCTTGTATGGGAGTGGTGATGCAACAGCTAAGGGGCCAAACGTCGAATATCTGACGATTTGTGAAACAAAAAAGCTTTGGAAATATGGGTGAATGTAGACGATCACTACTTCCACCGGACTACTGACTACAGAAGGAAAGAGTTGAGGCCCGTAGTAAAACGGATGACAGTAACCTCGAAAGTCCCCTATATTAAATGCCCGGGCTCATTATTTCTGGAAATAATTTGCTTCAAAAGTGCACAAGCAAAAAATTGTGTTGTAGTATTTTTTTGTGGCGCACGAAATTTTTGGCCATCCTGTAGAGATTGTTATGTAACTAAGGTGTTGCTGACACATCTTGTAGCATCCAGGGATCATTCAGTCTGAAGGAATTGTGAACGCTATGCTGAGTGAATTTGTTTACGCGTCGTAGTCATTGCCACGCCTTTTCATTTGGCGAGCTAGCGGCATTCCTCTCAGTCCCTCGAGTCCCGAACGAGGCGAGCCGCTCGTCGTTTGGTTAACGGTGTTTGCTTTTGAATCTATAGCATTGTGTGCTGCCGCCCCCCAACTATCTCATTTCTAGCCATCATTGTGTGCCTAAAACAGGTGAATCTCGTTAATGACGTCAGTACGAGGCTGTGCTCAGGATAGTAAAATGCGGGTACTCAGCTGAAGATGGAAAGCACACGGAAGGGGGTGAGGGTAGGGAGGAGGGAGACATTCTGCACTTTTTGCCACTTCCCATCGATTCATCAAGTGGAGACCTGTGAAGTCTTAATTAACAGCTGAAGTTCGTGGAGACTGCCTGTCAACCCTTGTGAAGTGTATCTTCCAGTTGTTTCAGAAGAACAACGGGTAAAACCCCCGCCGTTGATCACTCCCTTTTTGTGGATGCCGCAGCTTTTTATTTCCGTTCAGAATGGTAGTGCCTTATTGAATGTGGCCTATACAATGACGTCAGTGTTCTTATCCATCCAGACAAATCTGGTACCGATTTACTGTAGCGGAAGGGTAGAATGCTTGGCTGTCCTCGGCAGGAGCCGGTCCTGGATTTGACCCCCTTACTGTTCGTGTGCTAGGCGAGCCACTTACCCCCACAACACTTCCGCTTCTCAACTCTTATTAATTCGTTTCGGACCGCGTGACATACATGGTGTGCCATTCATTTTTCTGTCTGCGCCGTTTCTTACGGTCTATCTCGCACGTTATTTATGCTCCAAAGTTACCGGAACACGATTTTTAGGTGCAGAATACCTATCTCTATTGAGCTGAAAGAAGTAGATGCAATTGGTAATTACCTCTTTGAAAAGTAACGAAATAATGTGGAGGTCCTGCACAGCAGCGGTCCGGAATGTGTTCAACAATGAAACACCATACAAGTACCATTTGCCATAGCGGGTCGATGAGTTTGCTTCAGCTCAGGACACATCGTTGGGGAATCTCCAATAGGGATGGGTCGTATTTGGCCGCCAGGAGAAAGGGGTCGTATTTAGGTTTTGGCGTTATATTAGCGGTGGTTGACTTTTTGTGGATCTCCTGATTTTCCTGTTTCATGCGTAGTATATACCCCAAACCCGCCTACCTCCGCTTCGATAGTACGATTCGATGAGGAGAGTCAGGGCCGAGTGGGAAGGGGTCGTACCCAAGTCCCCCCCCCCCCAAAAAAAACGGGGGGGGGATCGTACACTACCACTAAAATCCCCAACCAATGATGTGCCCTGCTTCAGTTTCATAAGAGTTCACAGGTTTTACCAGAGTGAAACTTGTGACGGAACTCAGTGAAAGCGCAAAATGTCCCCCCCCCCTCCTCCCTTCGCCGAAAAAAGCAAGGAAAACCACCTTAGAACACCCCATATAAGTCTCTTCTCCTTGTATCTGACTTTTAGCTTTGTGGGAGCTTACGGTTATAACACCAGAGGACAAAGAGGCGAGGGAGAACCGAGACAACAGATACTGCATACACCCACCAACAGCGTTCATTTCCGGGTGTTGATAGGTTTGACGGGCGGATCGAACTTAGCAAAACAGACCTCTGACCCTCTTACCAGGCCTTTCCGTCGCGAAACTAGCAAAAAAATCTACTCTAGGGGCGAAAGAGATTGTCATTTTACTCGGTCAACCGTGAAACGCGCTTTCAAGCTAGACTTGCTAGCATGTTGAATGCAAATGATTTTGAAATATTCAAATTGCAATGATTTGAAAATCAATTGCATTACATCGGACGGGGTGGGGAGAATTCAGTTTTTTATTTACTTAACAGCTTTCTGCTTTGAAACAGTATTACTCACTAAGTAGTTATGTTGGTATTCAGCTTTTCTTTGAAACCCATAGTTACGTGAAAGTTAAAGGAAGTATCCCTCCAGGTGTTTTTTTTTCTGTTTCAAGCTGCTAATTAAGATTAGAACCATGGCTGTTAATATTACTCCCGTTCCACTGTTTTTCAACAAGCATCGCGTGCATGTCTGTCGAATAACAGTTGCCTGTTGTTTTGGCAGATTTCCGCTCTTGTTCTTTACAATTTTAATTTGATTGCGGTGATAAACGTCTAGTAGTGGTCACATGTATTTTTCTTTTTTTTCCATAGGCTTTCGTAGCTTGCTCTTTCGAAATGCTAGGTGAGGAACCAGTGATTGAGAAGAAGAGCAGACTATTTGAGGGAGAATAAGGTGTACAGGTAGTACTCCCTATTATTTGAAATATCTCCGATGGGGTCCAAATTAATGGCAGTTCCCGCGCTCAACCAACTCTGTGGGCGTTCTTCCTTGTCCAAGTAGAGTGATCCTCAGTCTTAAAGATTATCCAACTTTGCAGCTTTCACAGTAAATAACTAAGGTGCTGCGGTTTTCATGAGTGGCAGTTCTGCCGCCCCCCTCCCCCTAGTTGCCCGCCCACTAAAACTAGAAGGCTTTTTCTGTTTCGGGTTCAGTTTTTAACAGTGTTTTTCGCTTTTTTTCACTGTTAGGTAGTATTAGCACAGAATGACTCGATGAAACGGTAGGTGGGCCAGGTGCAGCAGCATATCCCTCTGCTGGCATGAAACGCGCCGAAGAAGTCGTGCAGTGAGACTGCCAGGGGCTCCATATTTAGGGCGTTCGCCATGATATTTTTTGCTTTTTTCCCTGAAAAGTCTTATGCGAATTGAAGGTTTGTAAATGATGCCACTATCCACAATATGCAATCGCGGGATTTGTCTTCATTGTTTCGAAAATCTTATGCGAATTTTTTCGCTTCGAGGAGCCACAACTTCCTTTTTGTGTGACCTTTTGCTTTCCAGACGGCGAGATATTTTCGATGGAGATTTGATGGAGAAAATCTAATTCTCCCTGTCCCATTGCATGGGATTTCATTTGAAAGCCTCACTACGCTTCTACAACACATCTACTCGTATGAATGGGCTAGAAAATAGTTTGTTGGGTGTTGATTGGTCTCATCACGCCATGTTTTCGATTTTCAGAAAGAGATGGTGGGGGTTGTATCTCGTAGTTGTGAAATCCATACTGAGGATTAGTCGGCACCGACAAACAATGAGGATAAGGAGATGGGATAAGGGGAACGGGCTCGAGTTAGTGGAGCGCAAGAAGCCCCGATGCGTGAAAAGTTGTTTCAGGAATGAAAATTAAATGAAATAAAAATGAAAAACAAATGGAACTTTTTACAAGGTTCTTTATGAAATATCTCACGCAAGGCCCTATACGGTCAGATAGATGCTCGTCTTAAATTCAAAATGCGAATGAAATATGGCTATCGAACCACTGAAAAATTCACAATCCGACGAAGACATTGCGCTAATTGTGAAAAGACGCCGCTTGCTGCGTTCTACCGAGAATAACCTTATTTGCAAGCGTGTGTTCATGTAAAAATGAAATCCGTTAGTATGTAATGGCATCGCACACTATCAACCCAGTACTCATTATCTGTTACGTCTCTCTGTTTGTATGTTCGCTTTCTTGCTTTCTTGCTTGTTAGTCTATCTGCGTGCAATTCGGTTCGACCTGAAGAACAACTTGGAGAGGTCGGGTCGAAGTTAGGATGAGACAGGAAGTGAAGAGCACACTCGATCCATTTCAAGCTCTGCCCACATTGGGTGGGGCGTGCGCCGACCGGTGACGATGCTGCAGAGACAAATTCATAATTCGCTTCCATAAACAGCTAAGACATGGGAGAAGAAGTGGAATAAGGATAGCAGGGGGTTGGCAGTCTAATTAGAGGAGACACCCGAGT